CTTTCTTAGCTTTTCTTCAGCAGTTTCTAGAAAAGCCAGGCCTTTGATATATTATCAGCTAATCAGAGGACATCATTTTTTTCCACCTGCAAAATGTTTGACTAAAAAAACCAAAATAGGTGTGATGTCAAAGATGTTTTCAGAGCCTGGGCATCTGGAGGGCTGCCTGCCAGGCAGCCATATTTTTTACAGTATTTGTGGATATCAGCTTATTTAGTGTCTCCCAAGTGCATTAATTTGCTCGAGCCATACGTTATTTTAAATACCAGCTAACCTGTTACCCTTCCCTGAGGATTTAAGCCAGGCAGCAGGCATTTTCCCTGTTTTCAGGGCAAGCAAATGCTGGAAAGGTAAAAGCTCTCTGTTTCCCGTAGCTCCCCCCTCCCCGCCCACCCTACCCTCACCCGGGGACTCCTCAAGCAGGTCAAGCTGGGAAATGGCTTGAAGGCTCTAAAGAGCCGTCTGCATACACAGAGGGCTTCCTTTTCTCTAGGGCCTGTAAGCAGATTTTCACAGGCAGTGAAAAGGAGTTGTAAAAAGTGCATTCCCCAAGTTTATCCAAAGCTCAGACTCCTTACTTTTTCCCTTCTGTGAACCTGACAGACAGTGTGTAGCAGTAGCCCTGGCTTATTCCTCACGTTTACCTGGGACAGTGTGAACAAATAAACTTTGGGTGTTCAACCTCTGAGAATGTTATGAAAACCATGAAACTTTTCCCCATTAAAAAAAAGGCATAAAATACTACACACTTTTGGATATAATCTCATAGACTTCAGGACCCTCCTCTCAAGTGTTCTGTCTACACCCCCAAAGAGCCACGGATCTCAGGATATAAATGTCTAAGGGAACCTGTTCAACTCTTGATTACCCTTCAGTGAGTGAAGTCAGTCCAGGTCTACCAAGAGGCAGGAGATGAATGAACACTATGCTTTTCTGAGCTTGCTTTGCTCTTCCACAGCATCTTAGAAAGTAAAGCAGAGGAATTTATTTCTAGTCCTTCTCCCAGCTTCCCTCCTGGTTCAGAAGGGCAGCTGCCTGCTGGGATGTCTTTTCACGATACTCACCAGTAGGAAAGGGCCCTTGGCCGCCCAGTCTCGGGAGCTGCCTGAGCCGTACTCCTTGCCGGCCAGAATGATCAGAGGAAGGCCCGCCTGCTGGTACCGCTCAGCAGCATCGAACACATCAAGCTGAGAAAAGAGGAAGATTTTACAGATGCAGTGAAGGCGCAGAGTGTGGAAGGCGGCCAGTGAGTCCTGGTGGGACACATAGGGGCAGAATGCCTGCAATTGGCCAAGCCAACGTAAAGCCAATGGAAAACTCAACCAGTCGCTTGCCTGGTCTACAAATACCTAGTTAACTCCATCTAGTACCTCTATCAAACTGAATTTTATACTCTTAACTGAAATGCGTAATTGTTGTCCTAGTTTTAGAAAAACATTCAAAGCCTAGGGCATCGGAGAGAAAGGAAATTAGATCAGTTTTTTAAAAAGAACTCTTCCATAGGTTAAAGTATTTTAAAGGTTAAGAAGCAGAAAATCCCACCTAAACCTGGGTTTTGACTCAGTGATGGTCAGTTGTGAAGGGTAGTCAAACACAAAGAAGGTCACATTCAGCTGGAAAGAACACATGAATATAGAAGTTGTTAAACAAACAAGCAAAAGCCAGTAACGGCCTTTTCTTTCTAACCAAATAATCTGTATCCTTTCAAAGAGCAGAAAGAAACAACCTGCCTGATATTTTGAGAGATATCTGTTACTGGCTTTGGGTATTAAGAATGTGGGAGTGTGTGTTTTAAAGTGCTTTCAAAACTACTGTAAAGCTGACAGTCCCACGGCAAAGCAGGTCATGGAACCGGAGATCAGAGGGACTAAGCAGGTGTAGGATTCCGGGCTCCTGGCTTTTCCCTTACATGAGCCGTTCTGAGGGGACCAAGCAGCTTATAAAGCAATAGCTCCCTGAACTCTCTCTCTTCTAAAGAAAACATAATATTTAGTGGCTTCTTCTGTACTGTGCCTCTGTATCCCTAAGTATTATATTTAATCTGCCAGTTTTTCATTTATCCTTTTTTGTTATTTTCTATTAATTTCCTAGTTTGAGGATTTAGTTCTTTTAACCACCACTCCCATAGGGCCCCCCCACCACAGTCTTCTGCCATCATTATGTTATATGTTATAATTAGGTAAATGCTATTTATGGCCGAGTCATTTAGTATACTATGATTTCCTTTTCTTGGCAATTAAAAAAAATTTCTACTGGAATTAGTAGTTATTTTTGTGTGTATGTGCTCACCTGTTTCTATGTCCCTACCCATTCATTCATCCCCAAGTGCTCTGTCTGAAATACAAGTCTTCTCTAAAGACATTCAAATTTATCAGGCAGTCGATCATTTAGAAGTCTTTTTCATGGAGATGTTACTCCTGGAGCCCTCAGTTCCTGTGTGGACTAATGGCTCTCTGAGGATGTGGTGCATTCCTGTTACAGAGGAATCTTCCTTCTCTAACACCCTGGCGATTCCCTGCATTTCTTTTTCCTGGATCCTACATCTTCCCCTTTTCTTCGTTGATTCCCTCGTTTGGTGGAACACATTGACCAAGGAGCTTTCTGAGACTGGGAATGAGGGGTATTTTTAAAGTTTCTGAATATTGAAATTCGTTATTACTTTAATTTCATTCGGCTGGTAGTACGAGAGACGTAGATTTTTAGGGTCCAAATACTTGTCCTCAGTCTTAAGTTTCTAGAGTTGCTTTGCGTGCTTCTGATCCCTGAAACAGTGCACATAAGCTGTTCTTTCCCTCTCTGGAAGTTTCTAGATCTTCTCCTTATCTCTGCTGTTGTTAATTTCACAATGATGTGACTTGGAGTGGGTCATTCTTTAATCATGTGGCTGGGTGTTCAGTGGTCCTTTCAGTCTGGAGTCTCAGATTTTGAATTTCTTCGTGTTACTTTAATAATACCCTCTCAAATTTTGTCTTCTCTTTTTAGCATCTTTATTCAGTCAGATGTTGGCCCTCCTCAGTTCAGTCTTTACTTTTCTTACATTTTCTCTCTTAGCTTCCCCTTTCTATATTCTGGAAGATTTTCTTGACGAATCAACTTTTCCTGTGAAATTTTTTTAGGGGCTTTTTTTTTTTTTTAAAGAGTTCTTGTCCTCTGGTTACTTTACAGCAACAGAAAATCATTTTTTATCACTGAGGAGACAATTGTTTTTCTTAGTTTTCTTATACTCTCTGCATTACCTGTGGCCTGCCTTTTAATCCCCTGTTCTTTGTCTGTCTTTGAGGTTCAAGGCTTGGCTCAAATGTCTGTTCATCTCTGATTCTGCCCCTTGTTTAAGCTGAGTCACTAAACATCTGACTGGGAGTTCTCTGTGATGGTGGGGTTGTAAATAGGGGAGGGTCACTGTGACAGTATCCTGGAGGCCCCAGGATGTATCTAACTGCAAGTCTTTCCCTTTCATCTCTTGTGCATTTTACCGTTTATTTGTGTCTTTTTCATTTAATACTTGGTTTGTCATCCCTGCTATTCACTGAACAAATACGTCCTGCGGACTGACTGTGTGCTGGGTCCTGGGGATCAGAGTCTCTGTGAAGAGTCTGCTTTACAAACACAGAGCCAGTCACAAGTCAGGCACTGTGTGTGGTGGTAAAGAGCACTGACTTTAGAGTCAGACTCTCTGGGTTATTTAACCTCAGCTCTTCTGCTTGGGGCCTTAGGAGGGTATGTGGGCTCTCTAGGCCCAGTTCCCAATTTAAAACAAGGAGAATTATGGTACTTTCCTCAAAGGGTTGTTGTCAGGATTAAACCAGTCAGTAAATGCAGAGAGCTAAAAACAGCACTTGGGATGTAGTAAGTGCCACAGACATACTGGTCATTATTATTTTAAAATACTCTGGGAGGGTTATTTCCCTCCCAGCATTCACTGGGGAGGGAAGTGACCCAGAGGACCTCCTGCAGGTGCCAGATACTCTGCTAGGTGTTTTACATGTCATTCCATTTAAGGTTAAGCCTCAGAGCCTTACAAGGTAGATAATGTTTCTGCTTCACAGGTAAGAAAAATGAGGCTCAGAGAGGGAAATAACTTGCTGCAGGCCCCTCAGGTAATAGGTGAAGCTGGGATTTGAACCCAGGAGTGTCTGATTCAAAGTGCAGTCTTCTTACATGCCTCCCAGCTGCGAACAGCAGTTCCAGCTGTAATATGCCAACTCCAAACAGTTCCCTTTAGAGCCCAAGCAAGCCTCCACAGGCCTCCACATTCCTTCTTTCCCAGTGGTATGGTAAATTAATTGAAGTCATAAAATAGCACTTCTTAATAAATATCCCCTACCTTAACCTGGAATTTCCCCCTCAAGTACTCTAAACTGACGCAATTTCACTCAGAGGCTCTTTGAGCTCCACTCCCAGGAAACTAGAGTAAGTTAAAGCATGAAACAGAATCTCTAATCAGGAAAAGAAGGTCTTCCAGTTTAAAGGGCCTCTCCATCAGTGATGAACTCTACATACATGCCCACCTGGCAAGACAGCACATGAAGCAAGAGGTAGGATGAGCTGTGAAGAAGAAAATAAGACCTGAAGGAAAGTCAAATATCCAGCCACCCAGAGCCTGAGAAATGCTGGCTTCTCCACGAAGCAGAAAACACAATACTCACAATTTCTCCAGAAGGCAGATGGATAGTCTGTGGTGCCTGCTTGTTCAGGAATTTGTTTAATAAGCGGATGTTGGCAAATGTCCCCCGCGCCATGATAGCATCGTTACCTCGGCGGGAGCCATAGGAGTTGAATTCTCGTGGAGTCAGGCTAAGAACAGAAGCAGGAGAGACCTAGTTAGTGAACCGAGAGAAGATTAAACTTGGCTTATACCAAGAAAAGAGAAAAACCACAAACCTAGATATTCTCTAACTCTACTAAGTACTGTTCTCCAAGGCAGAAAAGCTGTTCCCATAGCTTCAGCTGAAGGCAGAGTGAGAGGTGAGAAGTGGGATGGTGAATCAGTATTGTCCCAGCATCAACTTCCAGTCTTAGAAATCTGGGTGGAACAATGAGGAGGAACTCTAATAAGAACATCTTACAGTGAACATAGTGACCAGTTCACTGGGCTGTTTCTTAAAATGCTAGGAGGTGTGTGTTAATGATCTATTAGTTAGATCTGTTGAAGTTTGAGAGTCTATGAATGGGCTTCATGAGTAGATGAGTGTGTCTATGAACCCCTGAAATTATGTCCAAAATGTGGATGTGAATTTTTCTGGGAAGGTATATTTCCTTTCCTTCAATTCCCTAAGGAGTCTATGTCTCAAAAGAGTGACAATAATCACCAATCAAAAAAGGTTTGGTTATTGCTTGTTTCCCTAGTTTCTTCCTCAAGCCTCAACCTTTTGTGTTTCTCTAGTTTCTCTGCCCTTGGAACCCTTTTCTCCCTTTCATTCAGCAGCTTTTTACTGAGCACCAACTATGTGCCAGGAACTGCTCTAGGTGCCTGGGGTACATCAATGAGCAAAACAGACAAAGATCCCTGCCTTTGCAGGGCTTGCATTCTAGAAGGTGGAGACAGATTTTAAAAAGGAGATCCTACATGAGTGTTAATAGATTATAGTTAATACCTTAGAAAAAAGAAAAGGTAGATCAGGGCGAGGAGAACAAGAGTATGGTGGGGGTGACCTCATGGATGATGTCTTGAACTTGGTGAGGGAGTTAGCTAAGAGAGTATCTTGGGGAAGAGCATCCAAGAGGAAAAAATAGCCAGCTTGATTAAAGGCTCTCAGGCAGAAGGGTACTTGGCCTTGCCTGGAACATTCAGAGAACAAGGTGGTGTCCAGAGTATGTGGCTGAGGGAAAGAGCAGGGACTCGTTGACCCCTCTTCAGTATCACCTGCTCTTCTCTACTTGCTGATGGATTCATGTCTTCACTCAAAGTAAAATCCTTTCCCTTTAAAATCTCACATGTATCTATGTACAGGCAGTTTCCATACACTTTAAAAAGTAGTTGCCCCATGCTAAAAAAAAAAAATCATGAAACAGACCACTGTGCATCACCTCCTCTAGATAGATGTGGGCTGTCTTCTTACACTCACAACACTTACATTTCTGGGGACTATGAAATATTCTTGTTCTGAATGAACAGACTGTCTCATAGGATGCACTAGGAGAAGGCAGAGACTGAGTGATCACAGCAGAAGGGGAATTCAGGAAGAAAATGGGTTAGCCACCTGCAAGGGAGGTGAGGGGCAAGGCAGTTGTCTGCTCCCACTGAGAAAAGAAAAGTGTTGGATTTTGTTCCTCAAATCGGCTGTGGGCCCCATCACTGAAGAAGCTAATTCAGTAGGTGGGGATGGGAGACACGAATTTTTATGTCCTCAGATGACGCATGGAAAGTCAAATTTAGGACTGACTTTGATTAATATCAGTGTATTAGGTAACAGTAGGTAATATTGGTGTAATACCTGTTAAAATCAGTATATGACTGAAGGATTGATGAATGTTTAAACTGCAAATCCTCGAAGCAGTTCTCTGTAAATATTACGTTTCTCAACCAGGAGATGTCAGTGCATTTCTGGTTCCATCCCTGCTGAGTGCTTCAAGTGCAACAAGGCTCCGTGACAGGTTAAGAGCAGAGTCTTGTACTTTATTTTTTGAACCATTTTT